AACCTCCCTCCTCAATAATGATAAGGGGGTCAAAGGTTACTGAAAGAAGGCAAGAGAATGGAAATGAAGAACGTACCAGTCATGATGGAATGGTACAGCAGATTTGATGGGCTCTTACTTCTTATGGTCTACAACCATTCCCTTTTTTCCTTTGGTTCTGCGACACCGATGATTCCTAAATTACTCTTTAACCTTCCCTAAGCTCCCTTCTAGTGCATCTGTTCCTCCCCATCTTTTCCGACAGCATAAAATCTATCCCTTTTCCACCTCTCTTCAGCTTTGAAGAAAAGTCCAATGGACTCAAAATGTTAATCATTTTCCTCTTCATGGATGCTGCCAGACTTGCTGAGTTTCTTCAGCACTTCCTTTTTAATTAATTGTGTAACAAAAATGCAAAAACCAATGCTATAATAAATCAACAATTTGCAATATTTGAGATTTCAAAACATATGCAATCTCTCTCTGCATCTGACAGACTAAAATAGAAATACTGAATGCTTGGGAAGTCTTACTTCCAAAGCACTTTGAAGGTCATGCTGAGAGATGATCATTATTGCATTGAATGATAATCGCTACCATCTGAAAATGCAAATCCAATATTGTGACTGCTAATCTACTGAACTGCTTCATAAGTTTCATTTGATGTTTAAGACACCATCAACTGAACTGACCAATGTGAGTTAAGTCAAAAGCAGTCTCAAGGAATGAATTCTTGTTCTGTTGACATATTCACCCTTGATAGATTTTGCCAACAAAACATTTACATGTTCAGGACAGTGCTTCAAAGGGTAATGAAAGATCTTCCAACACTCTAGCCAATCTAAGGCTATTAAATGAAAACAGAATTTATACTTTGCACGTGTTATGAAAATAAATTTCAGAACGAAAATTTTAATATTTTTGGAAAGAAAGCGAGCAGTCAAAAGTGCACAAGGGATATCCATTGTTGAACTAGAAAAAAAACATTTTGGCCCTTAGTAGCACCAGCAATCAGATTAGATCATTTACTGCTATTTTCAATAGATAAAATTGACAATGAGATGAAATGTCATCAGTGGCTTGATACTACTTACTACTAAGCTGTCTGAACAACTAAAAACTTAGTAAAGATGGCACTTTTACAGGTAGTTAATTATTCATCTTTAAATTGAAGCATTAACCCTAAAATGAATTTTCTTATTTGTGCACTTACCAAACATCTCATATCAGAAAAAAGTAGCACCTAATCTTTACCATTTTGCCATATCAGTGCCACTAGAAAAGTTTTTTGTTCAACTTTTTATTAAATGGTGTTAGCTCTAACACACATGACATCATACTAATACTTCCAAACCAGTGTCACAATATGTTTTATTTCAAGATTGTTTAATACATAATGTTCATCTGCTACATACATACATGCATGCATCACAGTATTATCTTTATCTTGTTTTCTGAAGGGAAGTGTTTTAGGTTGGGAGGGATGGGAAATATACGTTGTTTGGATTTACTGCATTCACATTTTCCCTATTTCACTTTCTTTCTGTAGTTATTGTATATAATGCATTTGGGTATGTGCCATAACACAATTGTGCAAGAAGTGTTGGGCCTTTCAATTGCTTTGTTCATCAAATGCCTGATGTATTACAGCTATAGATTCCTCATCATTGATCTCCTTCCTGTTGGTGTCCCTGGAGCTGGAATTACACATAATATTTGTTTAAACAAACCCAGATCTGATTGGAAATATCCATACCTACAGTCCTGTAATAAACCAATCTGAATGTTGCATTTAATTATCCATTTCTGATAATACCACAGCTTCTCAGTTAGAATTAAGTTTTCGTATATTTACTAGGTAATTAAGGAGAAGCTCGATCCTTTAAGCATGAGGATTTATTTCTATGAGAATGTAAAGAACTTAGTTTGTTTTTAAACAAAGATACTTATTTAAAGGCCCAGCTCCAGTTTCAAACAAGTGAATTACTAAAATTAATTTTAAAAAGCAGGAAAAGGAAGATGATATTTTTAAGAAGTGCATCCTGTCATGTGCTCTGTCTAAATTCCTGAACCCTGATGTCCCCATATGATTCAAATGCAAGAAAGGTTACAGAGCTGACCTGGCTTTCTCCCTGAACTAGGCTAGCACAGCAGTTTCACAGTGTTATATTCACTAAACTAATAGTAACACAAATTTCCAAGTGAACATATTAAGCCTCTGCACACTAACTCAGTCACCTGATTTCAGGGCTGCAGAACTTACAACTTTGTAAGTTGATAGCAACACACACAGAAGAATTTTCTCAATCAAGCTTTTTTTTTCTCTTAAATTAGCTTTTTAAAAATAGTGATACTTGATCCTGATCCCCTGGAAACGAAGTTTAACCGAAAATGAGTAACATCTGTAGCTGTATGCTGTTTTGTGAAAGTATAACAATGTCATTCTACATAGACAACTTACTAATATATTAAAATTTTTAAAAAATTAAATTTAATGGAATAGAAGACTTAATTTTCATTTTAAAAACAAGCGTCAAACGGTATTCCAATTCAACTAAGCTTGAAAGTCAAATTGATTGCCGTTCAGACAAGTGACAGCTCCAAATCAATGCCTGAAATCAGCTGTTTTAGCCTACCTAAAAATTAATCAACAGAAATTCAAAACTGGTTTAAAACTTGTTCCTGTCTCCAATGTCCTAGTTTCCCTCTAGTCTGATTTTTAACTTGATAAAAGGACGTTTTCTCAGAAGTTGTTTTGAACTGCATCAAACCAGAATCCCCAAAACATCTCTGAAAAATTATGGATTCAAACTTGACCGAAAGTCATCACTGTGATCAATGGCTCGATTCAGATTTAAATTCTTCCGTGAACCATATGCAGTGATCTGTTACGAAGTGAAATCAAGTTTAAACCTCACCAATAGCTACTTATTTATGAACCATGCACTGTGTTAATAATTAGGAGATAAACGTGATACTTCATTACAAAATAATTCCAACAACTGGTATTAAAAATTACTATTCAATTACAGATGGGCAGCAGTGACATGAACACTGCAAAAATATAACTTGGAGAATTTTTGGTGAAAATGTAAAACCCTCCCTACAGATCTGAATTAATCAAACAAACAAAAAGGTAATGCTGTACATTCTTATAAGATTTTTTGGTACAGAGGTTTCTGGGAAAAACTCCATATCTATTGGATGACACCATGTCGACCTTTCAGGAGGTACTAACACGAGAATTTGAGACACACACAAGACAGAATACTAAAGTGAAAGAGTCACACAGAATTTGAGATATCATAAATATGGCTGACATTATATTAGAGCTTTCTCCCCTGGTTCTAATGACACAGTAGGCTGAATGAGCTCTATGTTGTAAATTTTCAATGGTTCTAGAGGTGAAATGTTTTGGTCAGAGACCTGCTGAATACCCTACACCTGCTCTTGATTCATAAATGCATATTTTGTACATTGCACATTTTGAATTGCCACTGCATCCTACTAGCATTGCACCTTCGTTTCAGATTCAGTTTTTCCTTTTCAGTTGCACTATATAAACGCAAGTGTTGGGAATTTGACCAATTTAATATCTTCAATTCTACTGAATATACAATGAGTACAGATATTGCAGATTGATAATGTATGGATGGCTACACTTGATCAACAGTGTGCAAGTTATCAGAAAGCTTTGAGTTAGTTAAGTAATGTATATTTAGTTCATCTTACAAGGAATAAACTAGAGTTCTCCAAAAATGACATTCACATTCCTGAAATCAAAGCCATTTCTCAACATGCTGAATGTGAAATCCTCTCTGATTATGAATTGAAACCTTGGAAATCAGGTTAATGAAAAGTGTGAACATGTACACTGAAGTACCTTACTAGCATTGTAGGCAATAAATTTACTTGTTCTACTGTTTGCTGAAGAGTTTCATTCTTGCATAATGTGCTGAGGCATGGCGTCACGAAACATGACGTTACTTGTAAACCTGTAATAATTGATTTAATGTAGGAAAAGAACAAGCTTATAATGGAATGCATTTGAAACACAACTTGCCTTTTTGAGAGAGAATATCTGACCTCAGAGTTTCCCAAGGACAATATGAAATAGCCTTACTATTTTATAAATTGATAATTTAATATTTATAGACATTTTAAAAGAAAAACTAGAAATAAGTGCATTGATTTAACACTCTATTACAGTTGAAACCTCACAAGTAAGAACAGATACTCATTATTAACTGGTCTGAGAGATTTCAAACAGGAGAGTAACAGAATTACTTCAATTAGGTGTAATGCCTGAAGGTAAAGGTGGGGTGCTGCAAATCAAGGCAGGTTCAGGCACCCAAACATTATTAAAATGACTACTATTGAAAACTACAGAGTTGTTGGCTTGGTCACGGCTAAGCTAGGCAGAAGGCCCCCTCATGGCCAATGACCTATTGATGCTCATACAAGGAATGGCCACTTAGGCTACATGGGGAATGCTCTGGTACCCACAGATCAATGGTCCAAGCACAAATTTGTACCTTCAAAAAGAGACGGAGCAAAACATATTCAAATTGTTTATTTGCTTGCCTACAGTTTACCACAGTGACGATAGCCCCATCAATCTGATTTATGGGCACACAGCAGTTTTCTGTAGTGTACGTGCAACGACAACAAGCATGGTCTGAAAGCTTGTGTCGGTCATCAGTACACACTAGTGCTCAGTCAAGTAACAAAGGAATTTGCATCAATAAGCAAAGTGCACAAATTACAGTTATTTTGCTCTCCTACCCAAAGCCAAATAACTTGGTAATTTTTTTTCACATATCGAAAAACATTACATATTTACATTATACTACTTCAACTACTAGCAATATTGCCTTAAGAAGCAAACACTTCTGATAACTTTTCTATAGTTAAGAGTAGTTCTGATTTCAGTGTGAATTATTTGCCTGACAAGAACTTCAGGAGCACTAACACTACTGTAATATTCCAAGCAGTGGGAAATTCTATGGTCAGTGCAGTACCTCTTCCTTTGTATCCTCCTCCTCCGGTTCTGTTGATACTGAAGGTGCTTTTGGCTTGTACCAGGAGATCTGAAGGTTTCTGCCTTTGAACTTTGCACCCTGGTTGGCAGCCTGTGCACAATTCAGAAACAGGAATCAAAAGTTAGATAGCTCAACCACACAGTCAATTGATGACATAATTTTTAAAAAAATCATTTGAAGCAATCTTTACAACTCTTTCTTCTGAATCATTTTAAAATACAACAAAATAAAACATGTCACAGCAAAAAATTTTATCAGTAACAAGGACAGAGGCAATTCAACTTGCGCTGTAGTATGAAAATGTTTAGTAGTACATGTGGCCAAGCATATGAATCTCAAACAAATATTTACCAATGTGTACGTTCAAATTATGCCTTTTGTGTCTTATGTCTTGCCTTACTCATTAAGCTATGAACTGTGTAATGGCAAAAAGATTTGGAAAGCCTAAGTACAAAAGTCACAAAACTGTTGAACAGAAATGAAATTTGGCTTGAGTTAAAAACACTAAGTTTTCTCTGAAGGGGGATGGAATACAATGGAGTAAAAGTTATGTTACATCAGGTAAAGCTCTGGTTAGATCCACTTATAGAGTACAGTTCTACATTTAGTTGTAGAGTCATACAGTACGGAAACAGACTCTTCGGTCCAACCCACCCATGCCGACCATAATTAGTTCCACTTGCCTGTGCTTGGCCCATATCCCTCCAAACATTTCTTATTCATGTACTAATCTAAATGTCTTTTAGATGTTGTAATTGTACCTGCATCCACCAGTTTCTCTGGGAAATACATCTCGCAAGAATATCTTAGCTTTGCCGGAAGTGCAAAGCAGATTCACCAGAATGACAGCTAGATTAAGAACATTAAATTATGCAAATAAAACCATTAAGTTATGCAAATTTTTTTTTCTGAAGAAGGGTCTAGGCCCGAAACGTCAGCCTTCCTGCTCCTCTGATGCTGCTTGGCCTGCTGTGTTCATCCAGCTCTACACCTTGTTATCTCAGTTATGCAAATAAATTGTGCTGACTAATACAAGACACCTTCAATGCAATGAAACCCTCCACGGCATTTCACAGGGACATTATAAAAATAGCATCAAGTCACACTAGTGGATCAGGTCACCAAAAACTTGGTTAAAGAGGGAGATTTTAGGGGCCACCTTAAAAGGAGGAAAGCAAGGCAAGGAAGCAGAGAGGTGTAGAGAGTATACTCCAGAGCGGGAAATCAAGTGAACCAAAGGGATAGCCAATGATGGAATAAATATTTTTGGAAATGCACAAGAAGCCAGAGTTACAAACATCTAAAAGTTACACGGTTAACTGACATTATGGAGGCAGGGAACGGTAATGCCATTGAGAAGTTTGAACGCCTAAGAAATTTAATCACAATACGTTGCACAAATTATTGAGCATACGGGTGATAGGGAAATGTGGCTTACTGTAATTTAAGGGCCAGATAGAAAAGTTTTAGATGAACCTAAGTTTATAGACAGTAGAATGTAGAAGGCAAGCCTGGAGTGTGATGGAATAGTCTTGGCTTAACCAAGTGTTTAACAAAATGCAAGCAGTATTAAGGGTGGATAGAGAGAAACCATTCTCCTGAAAGGAGAATCCAGAACAGGGTATAGCATTAAAGTTAGTCCCAGGTCACTGGGCAGCATTATCAGGTAACTGCTCCTCATACAGAGTAGTGGAAATCTAAATTGAAACTAGATCAGCCGAAAATCTCTAAACCAAGATTTCATCAGACAAGAATATCATGCGATACAGAATGAAGTGGATAGATCAGGTTTGCCCAACAGTCAGAATGTTGGTCAAAGTACAACACTAAGGGGTTCCAATCAACCCACTCCAGTATTCTAAATACAGGAATAACGATCGGAAGATTCTGCAAGGACATATTCCTCCAACCAGAGGTAATTTCTCTTCCAAGCCTATCAGTGAGGGCAGGTGCCAGAACAAAGGGTGGGCACAAATGAGCAGGAACAGGCAAAAGCAAGCCAACCGAAAAGGCACCCACTTCTGTACAAATTCTGCTGAGGCCAGCTTGGAGTGCACACCACCAAAAGTGAACCAAGGTCAGGACTTGGGTTTTGTCTATCTGTCTCGCTCTGCTCCTTAACAGGAATGGCAAAGGTTTTATTTGTTAGCTCTGCAACTTGGCACTTCTAAAATTGCCATTTTTATTCATTACCCATTAATATTATCAATTTGCTTTGGACTTTTTCTTTATTGAAAGTCATCTACTGTGCCAAACCATGGCTTTCTGAAATTTGCTCTGCACTCATGCCTAAGATTATTTGGAAAGTAGTAAATATTTAATGAAGAAATGAGAGAAACATGAGATGTTTGGAGGCACATCACAGAATCAAAGATATTTAAAAATACAATGCATGAATAGCTCAAACAATGGGTAGGTGAAAGAGAATCATGAATGACTGGCCTTCAGAGCAGGCTACGAAGTCTGGGAGGCTCAATGAAATGAGAACAAAGCAATCACTTGCTAATTGTTTCACAGATAGTAGGAACTGCAGATGCTGGAGAATCTGAGATAACAAGGTGTAGAGCTGGATGAACACAGCAGGCCAAGCAGCATCAGAGGAGCAGGAAAGCTGACGTTTTGGGCCTAGACCCCTCCCAGGGTTATCTCACCTTGTTACCTCACTTGCTAATTGTGGTTGGTTGGCTCGCCGAGCTGGTTCATTGTTCCATTGAAGTTTCATTACCCTGCTGGGTAACATCATCAGTGCAGCCCCCGATGAAGCGCTGTTGTGTTTTCCTGCCTGTCATTTAAACTCTGGTGTCCGTTGAGCTGGATTACCTCACTTCCGGTTTTCCTTCGCAATGGAGTGTATACGGGGTGTGTTTATTGATGGCTTTCTTAGTGGAGTACCAGGCTTCTAGGAATTCCTGTGTTTGTCTCTGCTTTGCCTGTCACAGGATCCTGGTTTTGTCCCAATCGAATTGGTGGTTTGCCGCATCCATGTGGATGGAGATGAGTGAGTATTGGTCGTGTCTTTTTGTTGCCAGTTGATGTTCGTGTACCCTTGTGGTTAATTTCCTTCTTTTTGTCCTATGTAGTGTTTGTCGCAGTCTTTGCAGGGAATCTTGTATATGACATTGGTCCTGTCCACAGTGGGTAGTGGGTCTTCGGTCTGGATGAGCAGTTGGCATAGGGTTGATGTGGGTTTGTGTGCTACTCTGATGCCCAGCAGTCGTAGGAGTCTTGTGGTCAGTTCAGATGTGTTCCTGATGTAAGGTAGGGTGATGGGTGTGTCGGGGCATGTCGTATCTTCCTGGTGTGGTTCGTGTGATAGGCATCTTCTGATCCAGTTTTTAACATAACAGCGCTTCATCGGAGGCTGCACTGACGATGTTACCCAGCAGGATAATGAAACGCCTGCTGAACAATGAGCCAGCTCGGTGAGCCAACCAACCAGAACATCTACAACCAGGGCTACAAATCTACTCTAAAATCTTACTTGCTAATTGTTTCATCTGTAGTCTTGGCTATGCACCCTTATGGAGGCTCAGTACAAAGATCATTCCTCCATTCAGTTTCACAGAATCACAAGTGTTTCAGCATAGAAAGAGTCCATTCAGCCCACTGTGTTTGTACCAGATCTCCAAATGAGCATCATGACTTAATGCCATTTTCCTGTCTTCTTCCCCCACACCCTTCCGCATTTCAATTGAAACAATCACTGGATGCCCTCTTAAATGCCACCACACTTCCAGGCAGCACATCTCAGACCTGAATCACACCTGTGAAAAAAATGTTTTCTCACACATTTTCTTCTTTTGCAAACCACTTTAAAACTAAACCCTCTCGAATGTGATCCTTTTTAAGAAAGGGAGAAATCGTTCCCAATCTGCTCTATTCAACTCTTCATGGTTATGAAAACTTCCACCACACCTCCTCAGAGCCTTTTTCACTACAAGAACAGTCCAAATCTTTCCAATCTATCCTCATTACTGAAGGTTTTCATCTCTAGAATCATTTTTTTGTAAATCTCTTCTGCACTTTCTAATGCGCGCACATCCTTCCAGCACTTTACACAAAACTCCATCTGAGATCCAGCAAGTAACTTATTTCAGAGCAAGGTGAATGAAAGCCTAAGTGAATCCACCTGAATCTCAAAGAGTCAATTCCAAATCTTAATCATTTGTTGCATTAATAAGCATTCTCTCATTTTGTCTTTGGTTGTTTTGCCATTTACTTTAGATCAGTAGCCTCAATGAACTTGAGCTCACCTAAAACTCTGCCATCCCAATTCAGAAAGTCCCTTTCTCCCATCACTCCTGTCCTTATTGATCTATATGGTGTAGTAATGCATCAATTTTAAAATTCCCTTAATGTTGTAATACCTCCACCCGTAGCATTTTCACAGATGATCACTGCTAGCACCTCGGTTATTCTTTACAAAATACTGGTAGAGGTAAGGGCTATTTGAGGCACTGCACTGCCATCAACCCTCTTCTGACTGCTTTGTCTTAGACCACCTAGCAATTATGGTGCTGCATTCTCTACTACTAGAGTACTGACAGAAGAGGTACTATTCTGAGATAACAGGGAAGTTTACTACATGACAGTAATATGTCCAACACATTTGGTCAGCATAATTACAAAGTCCTGAGAGAGCTGCTTCAGATATGTCTGCTTCCTCAAAGCTTGAGTAGAACCTTTGTCTCCAATCACAGACTATGTGGGACATTAGTAGAATAGGTGGAGCCAACATAACATGAAAATGAACCATTCAAGAACCAATACATTATACGAAACATTCCATCCAATAAAATGCAGGAGTGTGAGCACTGCTAACCTGGGAATGTGAACATTGTTCTCCAATCTGAAAGCACCAGGTTCACAACTGTAACTTTGGACACTGCTTGACAATGGCTAAATCAGGGAAGCAAAAACTAGAAGCAGGAGTAAGCCATTCGGGCCTTTGAGCCTGCTCCGTCCTTCAATCTCAATGCCATATCCTGTTCTTTCCCCTACATCCCTTTAAAAATTTAGAAATTTATCACTTTCATGAATATATTCAAATCACACATATTTTCAAATTAGACAAAAAGGAGACAGAATCA